TTAAAAGTTGAGCGTGTGTCATACATTTTTTTGAACAAAGACGATTATTTTCGATTAAAGTGTTATACTGCAAAATATATTTTCTTTTATTATTTTTGCAATTTAAGTTTTCACAGAAATGTCGCTCGTTTATATAACCGAACATAATGAGACAATCTATGATGTCGATAAAGCAGTGGAGGAGAAACGTCGAACAAAGCAGTATGGATACATTTCTCAGTATAAAAAGGCTATATTTGAAGAATTAAACAAACCGGATATAATAATCGATGCCGATGGTGTGTTGGTATATACAGATTCTAAAAGACATAAGCACAAGTCAATGGGCCCACCAAAGCTTACGATACCTAAAGCTTGTGAATATAAACACCCACGGCCAATAAGATGGCGCCGTACTAAAGATCACGTTTGTCCAGTGCCAGCTTGTAGAGCACCACCAGTACCACGTTTTAATCGGGAGGATATAGTTGAAATAGAAAGAGAAAAGAAGGATTATATTCAGATAAATATTGACAAGATTCCGTTGTTAAAACGAAAGGTGCAACTACCAATGGTCAGTAAAACAATAACTGGCAGTACATATATGCTTGTGGGAGCTGGTGTACTTCCAGAAAATGTTTGCTCTAAGCGATTTGGAAAGGTGCCCAAATACTTAAAGAAAATTAGACAGGATATTATAGACCATCCTATATGTAAAAAGGAAACGGAAACAAAGCAAGAAAGAGAAAGAGGAATAATGAGGAAGGGAGTCTACATAGGTAGACGTGCATTGACACTTGAAGAGCGAATAGATATTTTAAGGGTAACATAGATTTAGAATTGTGTAATGATGCTTGAATAATGTATTATAATATTCTTCTTAAAATATTCTTCAGGGTCTACGCGATAGATACAAGGAAACGTTAAGGGTTTATATGACCTCATCAGTATACACAGATACTACAAGTAAGAAGAAGCGCATTGGAGATTTGGAGAGGGAACTCACCACACTAGAGAATGATTTAGCTTTATTTGAATCGACGAAATGCCTTTACGTAGAAATTGATTGACCGATTGATATAACAAAGTTTTAAAAATTTTCTTGATAAAGAAACTCAATTATTAAATTTCATGTAAGTTTTGGATTTTTATAAAATTTAAAAACCAACACAAAGAAAATTATTGTTTTTATTTATAAATCACTTGATCGTCGTTGCATTTTATATACAATTATATCTAATTATAAATAAATAAACAATTTCGCTCAGTTGAGTAGAAATTATTGTTATGGCTGCATACTCGTAATAGTATCTTTCATAATTGCACACATAGCCATTAGAATTTCGAATGAGGCGCATCAGCCAATTTGCGGGCTGAAACCTGATCCTCAATACTTGAATCATATCATGAAGCAGGGGAATATTTTATTAGTTGTAAGTGGGAAATGTAGTAGATGGGGCTGCATAATTATTTTTATTTTATTAATTCGGGTCCGCAAATGCTAATCAATTTTAACTTCATATGAATTTAGTTGTAGGCACATTTAGAGGTAACCATTTACGAGCAGAGGCGCTACAACGTGGTGAGCTTCAAACTTCAATCTTCATGCTTCATGCACTGTTGTTTACCATAGTGGCCAGTAGCTGTGTATATGAAGCTTATCTGATTTAATTATGCTTAATTCGGTTTAATCTGTTATTTATTTTAGTGCTGTAGAGTTAGTTTAATCACTTTTTAATAATAACAACGCACTTTACTGTATGGAAACATATAGTAAATATGCGCTATTACACTGCGTAATGGACTTACAGTTATTAAACTTTTCTCCATATAATTCAATAGGTCTCAATAAAAGACATAGAATTTTCATTTATTAATTGTAAATAAATTGATTGACAAGTATAGTATGCAAGAGTAGTTTAAATGAGGTAATACAGAGGGATATTTGCTGTTATTAGGTGTCTCAATTCATGCGGTACAAAATGTATGAATAGCACCTACCATTTTCATGATGACTACAAAATGTGAAGATTGACTACAATGTTCCTATTGTTATACAATTACGAAGATTAGGAAAGAAACTACAAAAATTTATGATAGTTGAGTTTTTATGAAGACTAAATATAGGGACTACGAGTGAAAATATTCAATGAAACTTTTAAAAAATGAATATTTTTCTCCAAATTTAATATAATTTTATTAAATATTATATGGTAAGCCCTTTTGAGTTGCATTCAACCTAAATTGTGTGTTAAAAGAGCATGTGTTGTATATTATTGGACAAGTGGTATCTAGCGGATCGTTTCCTTATCGGCCTGCAAAGACACTGAACAGAGACTGAAGTTTGAGAAATTGGATCTTTTAACTTCATCCGGAAGACTAGAAAAATATTGGCTTTTTCGGTTCACATATCTTAACTTTTTTGAGGATATGATAATTAACAGCAGATGTCTTCACTTAACCTTATCTGATCTAAGTGTATCATAGCTGTTTACTTCAGAATGCTTTCTATGTTGATAGGCCAAGTGATAGGCCTCGTAATTTTGTGGAGACGGTTGAATATTTAATTACCAGTCAGACATGTCAATGAACTGGAGTACTTATCAGATTCTAGAGGAATACTGTAAAAAGAGTTGGAGAATAGTACACCCATATACTTATATCAAGATGTTAATCTTTAAATTACCTTGTTTGTATTGAAAACTGTTTATTATATGGAAGGCTCATTACAGTTTTTATAGCTGCTTAAAATCGTTTTGTAGAAACTACGTCATACGTATGCTACATAATCTTGTACTGTCTTTGTTATAATTTATTGCATTATTTGCAATAGTTTAAAAATTTAGTTTTAATACTCAGTAAAATTAAAAAAATTCAATAAACTTCTTCTATCGCATTTAACACTCTCCACTCAGACTTAAATTGCAAGTACTGGGAATATTTTCAATTGCGCAATCTACCAACGAATCCATTGAGTACTATCAATTCCTTAGAATTTGATATAATTTCTGTTATTGAGTAAGCGCAGCATAGCACAACTGCCTCCTATCTATTCTTTGGCACATGTAGGCGTCAGAATGCTAAAATATTTTCATACGCAAAACAGGAGTTCATTTAAAGGCACGTTTAAGTATAATTGTTGTCTATACTTGGCATTCATTTCGATTGGATGGCCTTCAGTTTATATGATTGCTGGTCCAGCCGGCAGCGTGCATTAACCATGCGACACCCATGCGATAAAATCTGCAATTTCGGCCCGTGTGGACCACACGGGAGTGCACAGCATTTGAATGCAGCACTTGGCAATTTCCCTGATATGAGTTCATATAGAGGCACTACTAAATGCTGGTCAGATGTGTGCTTGCCAACAATTGCTGAAATATTCAAACATTTTTGATACCGTTTTTGTTTTAATTGACGTAAGTAAATATTGTGGACGACGCCAATCTGCTATTTAAGGCTGCGGCTGGAGCACCTAGTGGCAGTTCAATTGGCTACTGTGTGTGTACTCGTTTTAGTTAAAGTCGTTACCCAGTTATAATTGGCGAAAATACTGTTTCAACATGGAATTTCAATAAAATATAAATTTGCATACGAAATCTTAGCAGTAAGTGATGAAGTTAGCCTTCTGGAGAGTGAATAAGCACTGATCCATACACAAAGGGTGCCTTCCAATTACATATTATCAATATATATTACTTCGGTTCGATATTAAATATTTTTATCTTGTTAATTAAAACTCTGGAGTTGTTTCCAAATACTGTTAACTAAAAGATAAAAGCTAATAAAAGCAATTGAGCAATGCTCACTTATTTTCCGTGGTCGCTTCTATTTCCCGAGTGCCATTGCGCAATGGCAACAACAAATTCAAAATCAAATAACATCCTTACAGGTTGGTTGGTACAAAAAATTCCAACCGCAAAGATACAATTACCAACAACAAGTCGTGTTAAGGGCATCAGTGATGCGAGCGAAGAAATTGGAGCTGCAGCACTGCCTTGTAATTGCGCAATCAGAACAATTACCTTTCCGATTCATAATTGTATTTTTATTTTAAGGTATTCTTAGTGTTCAGTTTGATTTCATTACCAATTTTATATACCAGGGTTTTTTTTTTTGTTTTATTGTTGTATATTTCGATTTCAATTGCGCGGTTTATGGCCTAAGTACTTAACGTGATCAGCGGTAGAAATGCGTGCGCATGCGCTTCATTATTTGTTCTTTTCATTTAAACCAATTTTCAATTTTCATTAAAACAAAAAGAATGGGAGGAAACAGTTAAGCCCACTGATGTGCGCTCGGCAGGTTGTTTCTAATCAAATAGGAATAGAAAAATGTTATTGCTAATAACGTAGCATCGATCCGATCGATACGGGGCTGAGTACACATCAGCATGCAACTGAAATAAAAGCACAAAACTGAAGCGATCGTTGAATGAAAATAAAAAACATTTTATTCGAATTATTAAATATGCAGTTAATACCTTGTTCTCCGATCCAAGCTGCCATTAAGTATTATTGCAATTCAGTTTATATAAGATGAGCTGTGCACCATGTATTACAGCAGCAATGCCTATGCTTCGGGTGCAAATAATGTAAATAACATTATGGATACAAGTTTCAGAGAATACAAGTATTATGATATTTCGAAAGTGTTGAGATTAGTATTAGTACATCGTAAACGGCAAAAAATTTGAAATGATATATTTCTTGGGCGAAAATTCCCGACATCTACTAATTAAAAGTAAAATAAAAATTAACAGGAATTGTACATAAATTTTTTGGTTTCACTTTTTTGGCGGTCGCTAATCAAACACGATCCAATGAATTTCAATTATTCAACAATTGGCCTATTCTTTCGTAAGCATATCGCAAAAAAACAACCGCTTGTCTTAAATACAATATATGAAACAACAACGCTGCTGACTTTTTCAGTACAACTTCTTTGAAACCGCTGAACTAATAAGCAGCTCAAATCGTATGATTGCCAAGACTAAAAATTCGTCCATTGTGAATAAATTTTAAAAGTACATACAAAATTGTCCACTAGCTGTTAACACGTTTTTGTTGATTCTTTGTATTTCGTAATTATCATTTTTTCTAATCATTGTTTTAGTGTCAAAAAATTGTTCTTCATTTTCGAAACTTTAACTTTAAATTTACGTGTTATGCAAATATGTGTATTTATGAATGTCCTAATGCATTTTATTGTCTTTAAAATCATTTGACATGTTATTCTATATTATACATAAGAGATGAAAGATGATAAGAGAGATGAGGTGAGAGATGAGATGAATTGAGATGAGCTGAGATGAAAGAGATTGGATGAGATAAGAGATAATATAAGAGATGAGATGTTAATATATGTATCAAAATCCAAAGACATCTATTGTTTTTTGTTGTGACTAAAAATTGCAAGGGTGGCTAAAAACATATTCTTAGTATTGTAATATTCCAGCTAAGTATACTGTCTAACTGTAATCAGGCAAACGTATTGGCGAACAGCAAATGACTAGGGATGAATAGTTTCAAATATGAAATGTCTGGATACCTTTCAACTTCTTACATCAATTGTAAATTGATTAAATAAATATGAAATATGAAAATTAACTTGATGCCACTCTAATAACATTAAGTGTTAGTTGTTTCTCTAATTAATTACCCGAATAGGCCACCATTTCCTTCACCGCTTACGAAAATAATAAACATATTGACAACTTTGACGTAATGGAAGAAATGATATGAGAAATGATTCTCCGATTGCGACAACGATAGCGTGATCTCATAGAAGTCTGTGCTATCCGAAGCTTCATTAACTTGACCTAGCTAGTTAGCATCATTAACGTAGTATAGTGTTATAACTAAATCTAGCTATAATTCTATGTTATCAAAAAACCATTTACAAAAGAGAGTATCATATCACATGAAATGAACCCCCGGTATTGACTCTGCTATAACAAACGCATGAGGATCATGTGGGACACATATTAAGCAGTCGTACTGACACGCTGTTAAAAATTATAACACGGCGTCACCTAGCTCAATTATTCCGAAATCGTTTAGGAGAAGTCTACCTTTTATCCATACATGACCAAATAATTATTTGATTTATTTGATTATTTG